GTCAGTGCACTCCCACATGGAGGAGCTCTGCTCAGCCACAAGCCAGGATGACGGCTGCCCGTACAGCGGTGATGGCGGGAGCCTCTCCCGCCTCCTCAGCAGCGCTAAGGATGTCCGACTGCAGCTTAGGCCTGCTCCCCGCTGGCAAGTGGACATCCCCCGAGGGCTGCCGGGCTGCCAGAGGGATGTCTGACCGCCAGCTTGGGCCCGATCCCCCAGGGAGCGGGCCTAAGCCAGCAGGTGGACATCCTCCGAGGGGTCCCAGACTGCAAGAGGGCATTGGCTGGGCTGAGGGACCCCCCGAGTGCACAAATTTTTGTGCACCGGGCCTCTAGTAACTTTATAATGATGGATATATGTCATTATATGTTTGTTCAAACTTACAGAATGTACAACACCAATAGGGAACCCTAAAGTAAACTATGGACTTTGGGTGATTACGTTGTGTCAATATACATTCATCTTTTGTGAAAGAAAAAACAACAACATTCTGGGGAGTGATGTTGATAGTGGGGGAGGCCATGCATGTGTGGGAGCAGGGACGATATGAGAAATCTCTGTATTTCTCTCTCAATTTTGTTGTAAACCTAAAACTGCTCTAAAAAATAGTCATAAAAAAAGAATTCCTAGACATGACACTGAAAGCATGACCTATAAAAATTGATAAATTGGACTTCATTAAAAATTAAAACCTTTGGTCTCTGAAAGACATTAATAACAATGAAAAGACAAGATACAGACTGGGAGGACATATTTATGAGCCATAATCTCACAACCCTTTCAGATATAAAATATATTTTAAAAAACTCCCAGAACTCAACAGTAAAAAAACAAACAGTTCAGTGAGAAAATGGGCAAAAGAGATGAAAAGCCATTTCACTGAAGGTGACATACAGATGGCAAATAAGCATGAAAAAATGTTCAATGTCACCCTCGCTGGTTTGGCTCAGTGGATAGATGGTTGGCCTGCATACCTCGAAGGGTCCCGGGTTAATTCAATTCCAGTCAAGGGCACGTACCTCCTCCCTGGCCAAACCCTGGTTAGGGCCTTGAAGGAGGCAACCAATCGATGTGTTTCTTTCACATAGGTGTTTCCTTCTCTCTTCCACTCTCTCTAAAAATCAATGGGAAAATATCCTCAGGTGAGGATTAAAAATAACAATAATAAGATGATCAATGTCATTACCCATTAGATAAATGCAAATTAAAATTACAATGAGATATCACTATACACTTATCAGGACAGCTAAAATTAAAAAAAATTAAAAAACAACAACCCACAAAGTGAGAATACCTAATGGTGGCCAAGAAGCAAAGAAACTATCATTCATACATTGCTGGTGGGAATGTAAAGTGGTATAGACACTTTGGGAAACAGTTCGGCAGTTTCTTAAAAATGAAACATGCAACTACCATATGACCCAGCAATTGCACTCCTGGGCCTTTATCCAGAAAAACAAAAACTCACAACCACACAAAAACCTATACACAATTGCTCATAGACTCTTTATTTATAATAGCCCAAAACTGGAAACCAAAATGTCCCTCATAAAACAACTCCCCACTTCCCCAGCCCTTAGCAATCACAATTTTACTTTCTGTCTACTTTCTGAATTTGACTTTCTGTCTACTTTCTGAATTTGACTGCTCTAAGTACCTTATATAATGTCCTCAAGTTTCCTCCATGTTATAGCATATTTCAGAATATATATATATATATATATATATATATATATATATATATATGCCACATTTTGTTTATCCATTCATTCATCAATGGACACTGGGTTCCCCACCTTAATATTGCTATCAACATGAATATACTGACCTGTAAATTTTGAGGGTGTGCCCCAGGAATCTGAATTTTAATAAGCTCCCCTGATGGTTCTGGTGCACATTAAATGTTTGTGAACCACTACTCCAATTAGGATCTCTCAAAGTATAGATGGGGAAATGTTTTCAGTGGCCCTCAGATGCACTATAATATAGATTTGACTCACACATAACTGTCCTTTTCCAATTTTATGAATCATCTTGATTGAATCAAGAGAAAGTCTTCGTTTGGTGTTATTTATCTTAAACATCTAATTCCAATTTTCCTTTTTAACAAAGAGAGAGCAGCTCTCAGATTCAGAGCCTTCAGATCCTTCAGTAGGCAATAATAATAGGTACAATTTATTAGCATTGTTTTTATTATATTAGTCTGTGCCATTGCAGTCTATACATTACAAATGGTTTTCCATGTATGTCAATGGTATGAAGTTGCTTTTTAATAAATCTACTTAATATTTTTGTTTAAATCAAGTAACTTTTTAAAGAAAATAATATGGCTGGAGATGTGTAAATATGACATAACCTTAAATAGTAGTATGCCAGTGGATGAAGTTTGGGAAATACTACTTTGAAGGGACATTAACATTTAAAAAAATATATTTTTATTGATTTCAGGGAGAAAGGGAGAGGGAGACAGAAACATCAATGATGAGAGAGAATCATTGATCAGCTGACCCCTATTGGGGATCAAGCCTGCAACCCAGGCATGTGCCCTGACCTGGAATTGAACCATGACCTCCTGGTGTATAGGTCGCTGCTCAACCACTGTGGCACACTGGCCAGGCGGGACATCGACATTTTGATCTTGCTCTCAACTTCCTACACATGGAAGGAGGAAACCAGATACTGACACAGAAGCACAAATCCAAGGCCTCCAGAACGTGGCTCCTATATGGCAGGAATGTGATGGAACCTGCCAAGTGGGAAAAGGCCAAGAACAGGTCGGAAGCATCCCCAGAAACCTCTAAACATTAGAAGTGAGAGACAGTGATGCTCTTTGAAAATCATTTTCTGGAATGATTTCCTTTCTCTTTTCCCTTAGTGTCGAGTAAAATTATTTAAAAACATTGGCCTTCTAATATTATCTTTGGTGATAAAGGATCACCAAAGAAGAGAGGTAAACATGTTCTGACTGCTGCAATGGAAGTTATAGCCACCCTAAGGAAAATGTGAAATCAGTAGGCCGTTTCCTCCCACATGGAAATCTTCTTAAACTCATATGTAACAGGAATATGGCAGATTCCACGTTCAGATAACAGGAGGGTGCTCCTAACAATAATATCCCGAGTTAATGACAGTAGTTACCATTGCACCGTCTCCCCGTTTCTCATTAAATTCTCACCACACTCTCACTTAGTATGTGTATTCCATGAAGGAGGCAGCACACGCAGAGAGGTAGAGAGACTCAGGTTCAAACTGTGCCTGTTGGGTTTCCAAAATCTGCCTCACCGTAAGTCATCACTTTGTTTAGGTTCTTTGTGTCCTTGGCTTCAAGCTCAGCTGCAGGTCTCATTTCCTTGTGGTTTCAGACAGTGGTTCTCAACCTTCTGGCTCTTTAAATACAGTTCCTCATGTTGTGACCCAACCATAAAATTATTTTCGTTGCTACTTCATAACTGTAATGTTGCTACTGTTATGAATCGTAATGTAAATATCTGATATGCAGGATGGTCTTAGGCGACCCCTGTGAAAGGGTCGTTCGACCGCCAAAGGGGTCGCGACCCACAGGTTGAGAACCGCTGCTTCAGAAGCAGGGACCCTGAAAACAACTCTGAGGCAACAGCTCCTTTAAGATGCCGCAAATCTGGAGCTCCGCCTTGGCCTCTGAACATCTGTAAAACTTTATTGAGTTTTCTGCCTGTTTGAATTTTAATGTTCTCAAACTATGGTTTCTAGTTACCGCCAGTTGGCAGCACAATAGAAAAGGGGACTTTGCTTTCCCATGTTTGCTGGAGCGGTGCATCTGGGCCAGAGCCCCATTAAGACTCCCCATTAAGGAAGCAGAAAGAGATGTGTGTGCACAGTGTGGCTATTTTTTCTCTGAAAACACTTGCCTCCTGAGCTAAGCGCAGTTCATTCAAAAGGTTCCCAATGCTCATACTCCAGATACACATCATCCTAATGTGAAACCTTTCAAAAACAATTTTTCAAGCACGGATGCATTTTTGAAAGAGAACAAACAGGCACACTGTCCTTGAAAACAAACGTTACACATCCACTAAGGCAGCTTATTAAACTTATTTTAAAACCCCCGAAGTTTTGAAAATAGTGCAGGAGATTAGGGGTAATCTAGTGGGTTTCTTTCCCAGAGAGAACATCTGAGAACATTTTCTCTAATAATAAAGGGTAAAGTACATGCAGTTGTGTAAACCGCAAATGCTCCACCAGTGCGTGAGTGAAGGAGATCGCCGGTTTGGGAAAAAAAAAAAAGATTTTTGGTATCTTCCACCTAAACCATTTATCCCCCATGCTCGCTCGCCTGAGGTCAAGTAATGCGGTCCCAGGCCGTAGCAACAGGCAGTTCTTGAGGTGGAAACATTCCGTGTGGGAAACATTATCTCAAATGCGTATAAAAAGAGCACATGTACACTACGTGAGCTTGCAAACTCAGAGGGGCGGTCTGTCGTCGCTGTTATTTATTTATTTTTTCCAGCAGAGGAATCCCAAAAGCGCAGGCTCGGACCCTTGGCAGAGCTGTTCAAAGGGCTGGGTGGGGTAGGGGGGATGCGGCTGCTCTCTAGCAAAACCAGACGCGGGCCCCAGGCAGGGGTGGGAGGGGGTGAATTAAAGGGCATTCCGAAGGTTTCAAGAACCTTCGCAAAAAGAAAAAAAACAAGAGAACAAACAGCCCCGACGTGAATCTTTGTTGCAAGAGCAGCCGTTACAGAGCGCAGAGGTAAAGAGGCAACGCAGGGAGGGATCTGAGTGCGGAGCGGCCCCCGGGAAAGGAGCGGCGGCAAGGCGGAGGGTGAGATAGCGCCCCCACCCCACCCCACCCCCGGCTTCTCCTACTCCATCACCTGCGGATCTCTCGTTAACGCGCACATGCTGATCTCTTAGCTTGAGGCTGGGGCCCACGAGTCTGCGTTTTGAACAAGCTCCCAAGTATAACAGCAATTGCTGGTCCGCGGACCAAACCCGGAGGACCGAGGCCGTCCTGCCCTTACCTGCGCTCACCCTGGTCCGTGTAGAGGTTGATGAAGAGTCCCTCCCTAAAGTCCTGGTACACGGGGCCCGAAAAGCTGAGCTGCAGCTCATAGAGGCTCCCGGGCTGCAGGGCCTCGCGGAGCTCCAGCACCATGTACTGCATGTCCTCCGCGAGCCACACCTTGTCCACCGGCACGCGGCCCACGGTGGCGTCTCCAGCTCCCGGGGACAGAGGGCCCCTCACCTCGGCGCGGTCACAGCGCAGGAAGAGGCTGTGGAGCAGCAGCCGCGCGGTGGCCTGGGTGCAGCGCACCGTGATGTTGACGCGGCCGGTGAAGCGCAGCGCTGGAGGGGAGAGCTCGTCTGGCCGCAGCCGGGGCCACAGCTCCAGCTCGTAGTGCAGCGGCACGAGCCAGGGCGGCAGGCGCAGCTGGTCCCAGGGCCCCGAGGTCGCCACACGTCCGGGGTGACCGTCACCTCCGGCTCAAGAGTAGAGTTGGACTTCCTGGCGTCTTGGGACCCCGCAGCGGTGAAAGCTTCGGCCGGCGCCGACGCGCGCGCAGTGGCCGTACAGGGCGGCGAGCACGGCCAGCGCCAACAGGAGCGCGGCCGCCAGCGCGGCCAGCAGCAGGGCCACCGCGCGGCTCACGAAGAAGCCGGAGCTGGAACGGGGTCCCATCGCCAAGACCTCTAGCGGGGATGAGGTGAGAGCCCGGAGACGGCGGCGAGGCGGCGACGGCTCAGAACCCCGCGGCCGGGTGCTCGGGGGTGGGAGCCCCACTCTTGTACGGCCCCTCCTCCTCCCCGAGGGGTTGGGAGACAGGAGAGCGCGATTGGGACCTCGGCTTCCCCTCCCACCTCCTCAGATGCAGGTCCCTGCCTACACACCCCTCCCGCCAGGACGTGGGAAGAGGCCGAGCGGGCGCACTGAGGCGCGCGCCCCTCGGGGTCCGACGGGCAAGACCTCGCACGAGAGGCTTCCAGAGTCGCTGCGAGGCGAGGACCGTCGGGACAAACTCGGATTTAGACACCTCCGGCGGGAATATTTGGATTCACGGGATTTGTTGGGTGTGCCGCGGAGCAGTTCAGGTGCCGGCTAAGGAACGGGGACCGAGCACCTGGAGCTCCTGGACTGCAGTGAGGAGCGGCCGGTCGCACACCTGCGGGCCACCGCCGGGGACTCGCACGCCAGGGGCTGGGTGGAGGCTTAAGGACCTGGACTTTTGGGGTGCGTTCTGAAATGACCCTGCGAGGGGCAACTGTGCGGTGAGAACTTCCGGAGCCAAATCTTTGGCGCAAAATTCACCTCCTGAATACAGTTGGGATGAAATCAAGGACTGGCATCCGAGCTTTTTGGAAGGAGGGTTGGAGAAGGGGGGGAATAAAAAACAGGGAGAAGGAGAGGGAGGGGCGCTTTACCTCCTGACCGGACGGGGAGAGAAGCCGCCTACTCCCAAACGCCAGGACTGGGACTGGGTGCCAGTCCTGGAGCCGGGTCTGCTCTCCGCTCCCTGCGGAGAGAGGTATGTATACTGCTCTCTATATCTATCTCTATATATATATATATATATATATATATATATATATATATATATATATATATATATATATATATATATATATATATATATATATATATATAAATTTATTTCAGAGAGGAAGGGAGAGGGGGAGAGAGATAGAAACGCCAATGATAAGAATCATTGATGGGCTGCTTCCTCATGGAGAATCATTGATCGGCTGCTTCCTGCACGCCCCCTACTAGGGATCGAGCCCGCTACCCGGGCACGTGCCCTTGACCGGAATTGAACTTGGGACCCTTCAGTCCGCAGGCCGTCGCTCTAACCACTGAGCAAACCAGTTAGGGCAAAACTGGCCTCTTTTAAGCAAAGAGAATACGACAATCCGGCGCCCAACCTTTCCACTGGGAAACAGCCGGCTGGAACTCGTCTCCCAGGCGGTGCCCTGGTCGGGGAGGCTTAGGGCGTTCGGGCATCTGTTTGCTATTTAGCGACGCTCCTGGGAGAGTCCGGGCCTGTGAGCCTGCACGCGCTCTGCAGTGAATTGGGAATGGTTGCCAGTACTCAGGAGGCGTGGCGGAAGAGGAAGGAGAGGGCGGTTCAAGATCCTGTTGTTGGCTCAAGATTTATTTGAGTGCATCCTGTCGTTAGACTCCTTCAGTTATTTCAGATCGAAGAGAATTTGTCTGTTACAGCCATAAAACTTAAAACGGTTTTCATTTTTCTTCTTTGAACTGTATCTCCCTTCCAATGAGAAAACCCTCCCTCCTGAGGTCAGAGACAGGTTAAACCCAGGTGATTCTCCAGGGAAATGTAATCTTCCCGGCTCCTGGAACCGAAAGTTATCACATTAACAACAACACCACACACACACACACACACACACACACACACACACACACACACACGAAAGGAGACTTGACAACAAGTTCACAGAGATGGCTGTGCTGTAACCTGTGACTAGTCTCCTGATTCCAAGTTTGATTTGCTTTCTTCAGAAACAAAACAATTCTATTTAAAAATAACTATGACCACCTGCATCACTCCCAGAAGATCCTGGGTAGAGGCCTTCTCTTTCTTTCTGCAAAACCTGCCCAAAGTCAGCTGCCAGATTGTGAGCTACTCGGCTATCAGGGGCCCCTGGGTTTAGGCCATTGTCAGATGGGATTGTTAGATGCAGTGCTAATTAATTTTTGTCCTTACAACCTCCTGGACATTTTTTTTAAAGAACCTTGAAGGATTCCAGACTCCCATGTAAAGGTTTTTTTGTTTGTTTGTTTGTTTGCCTTTAAAAAAGGGGGGGGGGGAGTCAGTGCTAAACAAAATAATTCATATTAGATGTGTGGCTCCCCTCAATTTTATGTAAGAAATTATTGAAAAGTGAGTACATGGACACTAGTATTTAACTCTATTTCTCTAATATCATTAAAGAAATAAAGATTGGCTACCACACAAAAAGCTTCATAGTAATAAAATCATTCCAAATGATTAAGCAATTTAAATATCTTACCAAAAGGGAAAATATTTCTGATAAATCATTAATTTCACTCAAAAGAAGTTACAAAATAAATGCTGGCTGAGTTGTGCTTATGTTAATAATTAAAAAGGACTGGAAAATACTATTATATAAAACATTTTACATCTCAACCAAAGAGTAGTTCTGGGACAGATCAGTTGGCAGAAAAACACCGACCAAAAAGTTTTAAAAAATGTTTTTAATGAGTTACTCAGAAAACCTACTTCCTATTCCTATCAGCCAAAGTGGTGATTCTCAATATGAGAGCTGTTGGTGGCCTCCTCCCCTGGACATTTGACAATGTTCGGAGACATTTTTGGTTGTCACAACTTTGGGGGGTTGCTACTGGGTAGAGGCCAAGGTTACTGCTAAACATCCTCCCATGCACAGGTCACCCATAACAAAGAAATATCCTGCCCAAAATGTGATCAGTGCTGCTATTTATAAATCCTAAGCTAAAGCAATTATTCAAGCCTTTTATATGCTACCCAAGTGAAACTTCACCTTAGTATCTTAAGTCACTATTTACTTTGTTGTTTATGTTTATGCTTTGGCATGTCTACTATTTTTCCATCTTTATTTCTTGGTCCTGATTCTGAGGGTAAAACCAGCATGATTTCCTGGCACAGTGGATATAGGATGTAAAAGAAAAAGAGACTTCAAAGATGATTACAAGGTTAGACTGAGTAATTGCAAGGTTGAAATTCCCACCAACTGTGAAATGGAAGATTACTGGGTGAAGAAAGCTTGGAGAGGGGTCATCAGTATGTGGCTTCTGATCAGGTTGAGTTTGAAATGCTGAGCCAATCACTTGGGTATCCGCTGTCGCATTTATTCCTCACCTTCTGCTTCTTATGTATCTCAGTAGGCAGTTACCAGACTTCTTTGCCTCTGGTTTCAGGATGCTTTTCACCAATGGGAGTCACAGGAAAAATACTGGGAGGCAAAAAGAGAGCCAGGGAAGAGGGGTTACAGGGCTGGGTGAAAAAAATGAAGAAATTAAGCAAAACATGAGAGAGAAGAGAGAGAGAGAGAGAGAGAGAGAGAGAGAGAGAGAGAGAGAGAGGACTGTCTGTGATGACAACAGTTTGGTGATTATCTGAGGAAAGAGGGGTGGGGAGAAGTAGAAGAGGGTAAAGGGAGGATAAATGGTGATGGAAGGAGACTTGACTTGGGGTAATGAACACACAATGCAATATACAGATGATGTGTTATAAAATTGTACACCTGAAACCTATATAATTTTATTAATCCATGTCACCCCAACAAACTCAATAAAAATTTAAAAGTAATAATTTAAAAAAGATGTAACAGTGATTCAGTTACAAAAGAAAGAAGAGCTCTGCTATAAATACTCTTGTATATATGTCTTCTGGAATACATTTTTGCTGAATAGTTATCTAGGAATTAAATTATTAAACCATAGGATATGTGTATTCTTTCAACTAAAGTAGATGATGCAAAGCTATTGGTAGTACCAATTTGCACTCCTTCCAGCAGTGTATGAATTCCACTGCTCCATAAATTTGCCAATATTCAATATTGTCAATATTTTGAACTTGAGACATTTTGGTATTTTGGGATTTTAATTTTCACTTTCTTGGTTTATAATGAAGCTAAGGGCCTTTTCACATAATCATCAGGTCTTTGGATTTCCTCATTTGTGAAGGGCTTATTCAAGGGTTTTGTACATTTTTCTACTGGTTGTCTGTGGGTGTTTTGTTTGTTTGTTTTTGCTTATATATTTCCTAGATATGAGTCCTTTGTTGAATATACATGTTGGGAATACCTTTTCTGATATTAAAGCAGTATTTAAAGAGAGAATAGGAGTAGCCTTCCAGGGAGAGAAAATTTTCCTTTAAATATATATTTTTTGAAATTCCAAACTGTAGCCTTCTCTTCTAGAGCTTGGTTAGGGAGGCTGTCTCTTGACTACTTTTTTTTCTGTCCTTTACTAATAAACTTTTAGAGTTGATACTTGTCATTTATGGTGCTCAGGTTTAAGGTTTGGCTGATTGTATGTGGTGGCCATGAAAATATATCATTCAGATCTCCTGCTGGAGTGAGTATAATTGACTGACAACCCCGATGCTGCTCTGAGTCCCCCACCCTGTTCACACTGAGGCCATGCATCCTTGGGCTGCTCCCAGACAATGAATGACTGAGCATGGCAAGGATCTTAATGAAGGTCCTGGGAAAGAATTTCACTGATAGGCAACTTTGGCCGGAAGGCTTCCCATTGGCCCAGAAACTTCCTTAACACTGCACTGCAGTCTGAGACTTCTTATCCAGCTCTCCTCTCTCTCCTCCCTCCTACATAGTGGCCAGACCAGCATCACAAGGTAATAACTCTCCCCAAGTCCTCTGGATCTCTGCCCTTTTCCTCTCACCATCATTTCTCCCCAGTACGTCCTTTCCACATCTAATCTCATCTTAGAGTTGCTTTCTGGAACACCCAAACAAACACACTCTAGAAAAAGCTCTGTTTAAAATTCAGTTACACTTCTATCATTTTTTTTCTTTTCCTCACAATTCAAAAATTACTGCTAGGGTATGTCTTTTAAAAAGCCTCTTTTGTTGATTTACTTTTATTAGAACATCATTTTCTTTTGAGATTGGTAATGAGGTGTTTTTTTTCCAGTTTAAGAGAGTTCTTTAGGCTTATGTTTTAAATTATTGCTTCTTCTGTTTCAATTGTTCTAGTTCCTTCATCAGAAATAGCCATAATTCTTAGATTGAATCTCTGTCATTTGTCTTCATTATCTATTATGCTCTTTCTCTCTCTTTTTATTTTAAGTCGTTTTTCTCTGTCATTCTTGCAGAATTTATCAAGTGTTTCCTCACCACAATATAGCTGCACAAAAGGAAAAATCTATTCAGTACTGGGACCTGGACAAGGACAGTAACCAGGCTGAGTACTGACAAAGACATTTGATCAAGTAGAGAGTGAAATCAAGAGTCCTGCACACCTGTGGATGGTGAGAGTGTGTCTAATACAGGGCTGTATTCCATGAGGTTGAAATGATGTCTCCACTACCACCAGCACCTGACAATGAATAGAGGGAATATAAGGAAACTCTAATGCCCAAAGGCTTTGCTGCCTCTTATTTCCATCCCCACTTAAAATAATTTATTTTAGGGAATAATACCACCTTAGGTGCAACATGTCACTCCCTGGCTACCTCCTCAACTATCTCAGAGTTGTAATTATTTATTGGGTGTAATAAAAGAGGGGGAAGAAAGAAGATAATTGGGAAGCAATAGCACTATGGCTGCGCCCAAAAGCCACACTTGTAAA